GATTCAAATCACAGTCATAATCGGTATTGTTCAATTAGCTTGTCAAAATGTCAAGCAGACAGTAGAAAAAAATTATCTTAGAAAGTTATTTATTAAAAATATAGCAGTGCACCATTTAGAATAAGTTCACAAATAGAACAGGTGTTTCAAAAGTATAATTACCTTTCACTCTTGCCAAACCCAAAGCGTGCACCAAAGTAAAATGCAACCGAAAGCAGCCAGGAGTCACTGTGAACTGCAACGAGTGATAACCAGTCCTTTTCTTGCATCCCATCCCTAGCAAAGTTTATTCCCAGTGCTGGTTCCGGAAGTTCAGGAGGCACCTCCTCAGCAGGCAAGTTGACTTCCCACGTCTCATTTGGAAGCCCATATAGACAGAGGTTCTCCTTTTCTGTAAACATCAAGGCAGTCAAAATAGCAACAAATCCATTTAATCTGAACTTGCTTCATTAGAAACATATTCTAAAACCTTGAACTCTGGAAATAAGAAAAAAGAGTAAATTCCAAACCCACAATAGCTGAAGATCATTTCATTTGGTAAATTATATGATCATCATATTATTTTATTATTATTATTTTTTACAAACCAAATGATCGCGAATTCACCGGTAAGGGTGAAAGCATCATTAAAAAATGACAATAAAACGTCTAGGCATATCCTTATGAGTGAAAAAGAATACACGTTGATCTAATAGAGGAAAAGGTGCAAAAAAACTATTGTCTGCCATGGAATACGACAATTATTCCTCAATATCAGGAAACACAATCAGTTGAGAATTTTCTTCAACTAGAAAATGCCTGAGTTTGCATTGCCGAGGACAGCAATAAATCAATCGGTTGTACCAACGAAACATGCATCATTTATATACTCCCATTTTTCCAAGGCCTACTTAGCTATCTCCCTGTCCTCAACAGATATACTGGCTAATGACCATATAATTAATGACTAGATACATATACACAACAGGTTATTCTGAAAAAATAAAGGCATGAACAGAATTCCAGAACAAATCAAATGAAACACAACAAAGATTCACTTTCAGTTCAACAAATGGGTTAATCTACCAGTCTGGTGAACAGTATAACTAAACAGCAAAAATGTCCAAAACACCCAACAAATATACTGAATAAGTACATAATGTTGAAAATCAATGCCTTGTAATACAGAACAGAAAATAATATCTTATGTTCTCATTAATAAAAGACTTCCAAAAATGAAAAAAGAAACATAAACACAAACACACTCAAAAACACGAATAATCAAAGTCCACAACCAGGGTCATTTATCGAGAAATCTCACCAGGATCGCACTGCTGATAACATTTCTCAACATCTGCATCATCCCCAGAAAAGATATACGTCAGAATAATCCAAGAACAGATCCTATCATATTCAAGTAAATTTGTAAACACAAATAGATGTCATAATTCCGTACACATACGTATATACAAACATACTACACATATA